TGACAAATACTTTCAAATTAAAATATGCCCTTAAAACTAACCAAATTAGCTAAAAATAGATATTCTATAAGTTTGATGTTATTATTAGGGGTGTATGCTAGTTGTTGCTGTAAGGTTCTTGGTATAAATCAAACGATGACGATTATCCATCTGTCCTCTGCTGTTTTTTCTATGTGATATAGTCCTCATCAGCAAGGGGTCAAAGGGCAGAGGTTAACAGGCATGGATAAACCATGACCCCAAGGGGATTTTTATTGCCCTGTGTCAGGTGTATCGTAGGTATGACTTTTTGAATATGTACAGTGGGGTTTAAGTCTAAGATTTCTGGTGAAAATGCTGCTATTTTGAACTTTTCTCATTTTCTACCATTTTTTCTTCACAGATTATATTACCAGTATCGCAATTAGAGTTAAAAAATAAACATGAATCTTAGAATGTATTTTGAGTGTATTTTCCGAAAGCTAAAACTTGTAGCTTTGTGTATTTGTCACTTATATTCTCTCTGGACCTCTCACAATGTATGTGACAATGCAGTTATCATGTTATGCATGCATTTAAGATCTGGAGTCAGGTATCATGGTTACAGCAAGCATACATTTACTAACCTGGGCTTTCAGTTTAATGAGCTATATGGGGATTTGATATACTGTAGTTTACACCCTGTTTAAGGCCTTTTTAACGCTATAATTCATCTTAATGTGTTTAAATAGGCATTTAAGAGACTGAGGACACAAGTTCAGGTATTCTGCTAAATCTAAATTATTTAACTGTTCATACCAAGAGGCCAGGGTTTGTCCATTGAAGTTTCATTATTCATTACTTAACAAAAATAAGACACACACACACACGCACGCACTTTTATATATATATATATCTCAGTCTCATACACTCATACACTTATATGGGCTCCATCTGTCGATGGGCATTTTAAATCCATAAGTATGTCAGTTTTGTAAACTTTAACAGTCCAAACGGTGATGAACACCAAGAGAGTATTGAAAATTTAGAAGGTCACATCTGTAAGATGACTGTTATTTGGAGTATTTGACATCTGGATAGATGTTTAAGACAGCATGAATTCTCCTCTCCTTTGCTGTCTTTCCCTGTCCAACAGAGAAGAGATTTGCACCATCTCTGCAGAGTGATTTGTGTGATGGACAGCCGTCCCTGAACCTATGATCTGCAAATTGAAGCAGAGAGAAGGGAGAGAAAAGGAATCTGGAAGATCAGTGCAATACAGGGCAGTAGAACAGATGGAAGTATGAAAAAGATGGGTGCATTTCCAGATAATGAACTTTTAGGAAGGACATAGGAAAACATTATTTTTGTTCTATTAATGTACAGCATAAATATACTGAAAAAGCAGCGCACAAGGCCAGTCACAAATCACATTCGTGACAGCACAAACAACACACACCTGATGTCACACCTCTGTGCAAACCTTCCACCCACAAGTGTGTGGTGCCATAAAGATAAATTGTGTTTACCTTTAGTTATCTTTTTTTCTGGCCTACAGTACAGGAAAATGCAGGCCTCTTTTTAGATACAGGCAGTGACTGAACCATACATCAGGCACATACATGTGTAAAACTAGTCCTCCATGTGTCCATCTAGGTTAGGTGTCTCTATTCTTGTCTTCCAGTGTTGAAATGGCACCTTGTAAATACAGCTATAACTAGTATAGTATAACTCTTACTGACAAGTCTACATCATAGTCTTCTGACAAATACTTTCAAATTAAAATATGCCCTTAAAACTAACCAAATTAGCTAAAAATAGATATTCTATAAGTTTGATGTTATTATTAGGGGTGTATGCTAGTTGTTGCTGTAAGGTTCTTGGTATAAATCAAACGATGACGATTATCCATCTGTCCTCTGCTGTTTTTTCTATGTGATATAGTCCTCATCAGCAAGGGGTCAAAGGGCAGAGGTTAACAGGCATGGATAAACCATGACCCCAAGGGGATTTTTATTGCCCTGTGTCAGGTGTATCGTAGGTATGACTTTTTGAATATGTACAGTGGGGTTTAAGTCTAAGATTTCTGGTGAAAATGCTGCTATTTTGAACTTTTCTCATTTTCTACCATTTTTTCTTCACAGATTATATTACCAGTATCGCAATTAGAGTTAAAAAATAAACATGAATCTTAGAATGTATTTTGAGTGTATTTTCCGAAAGCTAAAACTTGTAGCTTTGTGTATTTGTCACTTATATTCTCTCTGGACCTCTCACAATGTATGTGACAATGCAGTTATCATGTTATGCATGCATTTAAGATCTGGAGTCAGGTATCATGGTTACAGCAAGCATACATTTACTAACCTGGGCTTTCAGTTTAATGAGCTATATGGGGATTTGATATACTGTAGTTTACACCCTGTTTAAGGCCTTTTTAACGCTATAATTCATCTTAATGTGTTTAAATAGGCATTTAAGAGACTGAGGACACAAGTTCAGGTATTCTGCTAAATCTAAATTATTTAACTGTTCATACCAAGAGGCCAGGGTTTGTCCATTGAAGTTTCATTATTCATTACTTAACAAAAATAAGACACACACACACACGCACGCACTTTTATATATATATATATATCTCAGTCTCATACACTCATACACTTATATGGGCTCCATCTGTCGATGGGCATTTAAAATCCATAAGTATGTCAGTTTTGTAAACTTTAACAGTCCAAACGGTGATGAACACCAAGAGAGTATTGAAAATTTAGAAGGTCACATCTGTAAGATGACTGTTATTTGGAGTATTTGACATCTGGATAGATGTTTAAGACAGCATGAATTCTCCTCTCCTTTGCTGTCTTTCCCTGTCCAACAGAGAAGAGATTTGCACCATCTCTGCAGAGTGATTTGTGTGATGGACAGCCGTCCCTGAACCTATGATCTGCAAATTGAAGCAGAGAGAAGGGAGAGAAAAGGAATCTGGAAGATCAGTGCAATACAGGGCAGTAGAACAGATGGAAGTATGAAAAAGATGGGTGCATTTCCAGATAATGAACTTTTAGGAAGGACATAGGAAAACATTATTTTTGTTCTATTAATGTACAGCATAAATATACTGAAAAAGCAGCGCACAAGGCCAGTCACAAATCACATTCGTGACAGCACAAACAACACACACCTGATGTCACACCTCTGTGCAAACCTTCCACCCACAAGTGTGTGGTGCCATAAAGATAAATTGTGTTAACCTTTAGTTATTTCAGATAAACAACTGTCACAGTTTTTTGTTGGTTGAACAGTTGTTAAATGTCCCGGGTGAGTTACGACCTAAGTAAAGGACCAAGTGTGTCACCAGTGGGCTCAGACATTTCTCAGAAACCACTCTGCTGGCCAATCAGAGTTGAATACATTTAAAAATAGCAAGAATTGTTTAGCCTAAATTATTAACAGTCATTTTCTTGTCAATTTTCTTCCATGTTATATCTGGCATAAAACCTTCTTGGATGGATCAGTATGGTGGTCTTATTTTTAGCTTGAAAATGTCAGTAGGTGTAGCTCTGCATGGATTTGATCAAATGACATGCTGAGATATTAAGTAAACAACTCACAATAGATGACGGGATGTTATATATATACTTCAGTCACTTTTCAGTCTCTAAATTACTTTAGAGCTTGTGTACTGTGTTACGGTCCACTCTTCAATAAATATACTGTGGAGAACTGATTTTCATAGTTTATATATTATTGCCAAATATGGAAACATAAGTGCTCATTTCTTTCAGTAATCTGTCATTTTAGTGATATTGGCAACTAAACGTGAAAAGTTTATTGGGAAATTTGGACAAAAAGAGAAAACGAATTGAAAAACATGTGGATTCACACCTGGTATGTACACTAATTTGGGGTGGTTTTGAAAGAACTCACTAAGGCTGCATTTATTTGATCAAAAATACATTACAACTCTTTCTATTTTAATATATTTTAAAATGTAATTTATTCGTGTCATGGTAAAGTTGAATTTTCAGCAGCCATTACTTCAGTCTTCAGTGTCGCATGATCCTTCAGAAATTATTAAATTATTATTAATTTCCTTAATAAAAAAAAATCTTACTGACCCAAACCTTTTGAAGACCTTAATTATGGATCTGAGTTCTGGATCTGTAAATGGCATGTGACGTCAGGTCCGATAAAGGAGGGGATGAAACAGAGCTGTGGTAGGGGAATTTGGGTGGGGTTGCCCCCATCGAGCTGGAATTCTGTGAACAGGTCTCGGAATGTGGAGAATGACTGTCATGAGATAGACCTGGGGGTCAGAGGCCTGGATGGGTTAAAAGGACACCTGCTGGACCACTGCTCTTATTCTATGACATCAATGCAGTCTTAAATTTAAATGTAGTCTACATGGAAGCTGATGCTGAAATTAAAACCATGAACTGTCAAATCCTCTCTCAAATCCTCATCTTCAACTGAGTTCTTTTCCCGCACCTGTTTTAACTCTTCACTTTAGTACACAAGAGAAGTGCCAAACCATTTGAATAGTGCACAGCCCCTTTACCGGATCTTCACAAGAGGTGCCTCCCTTTTGGAAGCCAGCCTGATCCATAAATTTAATTAAACTATCCTTAGGGAGACTCAGTGTGTATGTCTGTGTAGGTGAACACCAGATTGTAGATTTAAATACATGAATTAATCAAGTTTTTCTGTATTTTTTGATCAGATAAATGCAGCCTTGGTGAGCATGAGAAACTTCTGTCAAAAACATATTTTAAAAATCTAACTCCCCTAACTTTTCAACAGTACTGTACATTGTAATGTGAATGCTTTTTTTAAAATTAAGAACACATTTGGTTATTCATCTATGACCAAAATCCAAACTCAGAACAAGCTAAGGGTACAACTGAGAAAAGCCTGTTGAGAAATAATTGCAATATATCATCATTTTGAATAGCTCCACACTAAATTGTGTCATCATACCTTTGCTGAAAAGATTGTTACAATTCTAACTCTTCTAGTCTCTCTTGTCTTTCTTTCTGTTTTAGCCTCTTCAGAAGAATGGACAGATCTCCATTTCCAGTCTTAATGGGAAGACAGATGATCAGACAGAGTATAATGGCCACACGGAGGAGAACCCACCAGCTGAGGGTATGTGCTCATAACCATGTGTTTGAATATTGTGTGTGTATATATCACTCTCATATCTTTATTATCGTGTCTGTGTGCGTGGTATGTCAATGACTGACACTAACTCTCTCCCGATTCCCAGTGTCAGGGGTCTCTGTGTGTGTGAGGCTTAAGATGTGATCTTTATCTTTTTATCTGTGTGCCCTCTTTCCCCAACTGATCCTTCTCATAATCCCCAGCAATCCTGAAGATGAGAACACCTACATAGAGTCTGCAGTGAGTGGACACCAACATAGACCTCTTTAGCCCCCTAACCATGGTCTGTGAGAAGACTCTAGGGCAATAATGCATACCATGTTTATTTTTATTAGTTTTTTGTGTTCCTTTCTGGCTTTTCAACTCAGAGAGACCACCGAGATGCTTCCCCCCAATAATATTTAGCAAGCCATGACCTAGCTGACCCCTTAAAGAGGTGTATGTTTTTAATAAGCTAGCCTCACTGCATGTATAGAAGTCTTAGGTGTCTTTAAATTTGGAGGTCAAATCACACACTTTGCTTGAATTTCATCATGAATAAAACTAAAGGCATATTGAAGAATAGCTAAATGATTGTATATAATGAGCCATGAGTATGTGCGGAATGGAATGCAATTTGCATTTTCATAAATAATCTTGAATATAAAATGATTAATGGTTTTAGTAGTGTATCATATAGTTTTCAAAGGTTAGTATGACAAATAATGATTCAAGTAGTAAATTCTCAAGCTTAGAAATAAATTATTCTAAATAACTTAGAAATTTACACCCTAACTTTCACTGACTTGTTGAAGTTCATTATAGAAGTAGCAATACCGGATTCATGAATGAATCATTAAGAAAATATCAAACCAAATGAATTGTTTGTTCACAAATCTGACATTGCTGTTTCTCTCATAAACATTATGTATTTTTTTTTATAAAAGTGTATTAAAACAAGAACAAAAGAAAGATTGACAGAAAGCAAGAATAGTCTCTCTTCTGTGCCACATCTGACAGTGTAAACACATTTACACACAAATAAAACCTGTTTCCTATTGTTGTTGCTTGGATGCAATGAGACATTATGTATATGCAAGTCTCAAGCATGACAATACCAGGACAAGCCCTTGAAACGCTCCCAAAATGCCTCAATACTGGCTTTATTTAATCTGCATGATTAATGCTGTAATGCCAGCCGAGAGTATTTAGCTATAATTTTCTAGCATGCTCAGTGCAGCCATTTATTTTCTCCAGCATCCCCAGAGTACCAGAAAAACCCCTGGAACGTTTTATAGAAACGTAGAATAATGTGTCTATGTGTGTAAAATGAATGTGTTGATATATCTGTCTGTTCTCCATAGTTAAGAAACCTCCCAAAATATGATGCTGTCGGGTTTTAGTGCAACTTTACAATGGAAACCATGTACACAGAGTCAGATAAAGACAGATGAGAGAGAAGTATGATTATTTTGGTGTCCACACTGCCAAAAATGAAAAAAAAAAAAAAAAAAAAAAACCTGCCGGTATTGTGCTATGTCTCCACAGCCAAAATCAACAAAGAAAAATAGTGCTTTCAAAATTAAAAACACATACATTTTTACAATTTCCTTTAATCAGCATCTTTTCGATTTTGACAATGCCTGGCTTTTCAAATGTTCATGAATACACACCCATACAAGCTCACTCATTCACATGATTATACTAATGCACATATGTCAGCAGGAAATTACAAACACAGATTTACTTGCCTGACCTACATGTACAGACATGCAAAAGTTACATGTATACAAAAGTTTGCAAATGAATTAAGTTCTCCCACCCACCCACTCACACACATACATACACACACACACACACACATAAGCTGGCTGCCAGGCGTTTAGGAGGCGGTGACGTGAATGAGTCCAGAGAGTGAGCTCAACCATTATCTCATACACAGTCCTCCCCCACCAAGCCGAGTGTGTGTGTGTGTGTGTGTGTGTGTGTGTGTGTGTGTGTGTGTGTGTTTTTTTTCTCTGAGCTTTTGCCTCCTTAGACACGTAGAGTAGAGAGTGAAATGAATTACACAGGTTTTAATGTCATGTTTAACTGTATCTTAAAGGGATCATATGATGCTTTTTTAAAGATCATTATTTTGTGTATTTGGTGTAACAGAATATGTTGACATGCTTTAATGTTCAAAAAA